GACAAGAAAATATCCAACTTTAGAGCTGTGGTCAAAGTTTCAAACATTCAAAACTTTATTTGTTAATCAGGAATTTGAAGATAGTTCTAAACATTCAAGCAATGTCAGAGTTATTTACTTTCTCTTGTTAACAGAAACCATATGACAAGTTCGAATAGTTATCACACATTAAATGTCACTCACATGAAAAGTTTGATCTTTTGATTTGTATAATTTCCATTACTAAAACAAAAGTTATTGTATTAAACACACACACACACATATCACTAAAATGTCATTCATAATAGTTCCTTCCACGACAGGAGTAAACTATTATGGTGGAGCATAGTGGGGTACATTTAGCAGCTGTGTTGCTTCATTAAAACAAAGTACATGCCTGGTGGTCAAGACATAAGAAAAGTGTTATGATAAGATAAGGATAACACAGAAAATATATGTTAACACTCATAATTTTTAATGGTGAAGAGGAGAACTGGTGTAACTATAAACTTCCCTGCTTAATTAACCAACAATATTGTTTAAAATAAATGACTGACAATGACACACTTTCCTGTAACTTTTCGTTACAGCTGAGGATCATTTATTTTCTATCAGTAGTACTCCATTCAGTTTTGCTCTTTACTTATTATTTAGTTCATTAGATACGTTTCATTAAATCAACAATTTTATGTTAAAAAGACTATGACTGTCAACGTGCTTGAAACAGTGACTATTAAACAAAGGTTTCTTTCACTAAATTAGCTGCAGATCTTTTAATTGGCCACGATAAGATGCTCCTGTTCTGAAAACTTACTGTATGTAGATACAGGAGTATCAAACATAATACAAAATATGTGTACATAAACAATGTACATTTTTTATATATAAAAACATGATTAGTGTCAATATAACATATTTTAAATTTACATATGAATATTTTATTTCAAATATATGTACTACCTGTGAATTAAAATGGTTTTCAATGAAATATACACTACTACTTAATGTCATCAGTAAGTTATGCTTATCAGTACTATCAAAGATTTGAACCTTTGTTTGATAGTGTTCCAAACCTTTGAGGTCAAATCTACCCTTCATTACAGAATTAATGTAGATTGAAACATCATTCGTCACACAGGAAAACATACACCTCATGATATGTTCTGATTTTATTCTTCTTTTTTATGTTCAATTAATTTTACTGATATTCTTATGAAACAGAAGCAACAAAGGTCAAAGTTAATTGCAAAGGAGTAAAGTTCATTACATTTAATGTTTTAGAAAACTCGGAGAGAAATTTTATATCATTAAAATAATACACAAGTTAAATGTAAACACTGACATGCACAATACAGGTGTTTATTATAATTTATTATCTCAAGACTAATATAATATAAACTCATGTACAAGTCTCACTTTACCTTAGTCAGTGCACTAGGATTAAATGTCCACCTATTGTTGCAACCCTCATACTGAACTCTAATATCTCCTTTGTCTGTAACACGATGTACAGTTCCAATTTTGTTGATAACCTATATAAAAGAATAGCTTATTTAATTTTTTAACAACAAGTACCAAAATTATCGACAGTGAGTTCACATTTCTATTACTTACCCTCATAGATTTTTGTTTATTATATTAAAATGTTTATGGGAAGAAATGGTAGTTATAACTTTTTGATGCTTTGTCATTTTTGTTTTTCAAAACTTGAGTATTTATGTAACTAACGCAAGGTAATTTCAAACGTGAATTTTTCTCTCTTATCACACTTTTAACATCAGCTCACCAGTGCTGGATTTCTTGTTTAGTTCAGGTGCTAAGTTCTTTATAGCTAATGTTTCTTTTAATCTTAGCCACTGTTCATTTTCAGCCTTTCCAATAATTTGGAACTGTTCAATTTCTATGTTTACATTCACGCATTTTTCTTTATGCTGGAAAATGTTTGAGAATTCTGCATACCTTGACACACTATGTTCTTTAACTCAATCACTAAGCCTACTCACCATCGACTCTATATACGCACTATTACAAACAGAGCACTGATATCTGTAGATGACATGTGATTGGTCCACTTTGCAAATTCTGTCTTTGAATACAAAATAGTTCCTTATTCTGTATACTGGTTTAAGTACCACACGTAGTTCAACTTATGGCTACACATTATAAAGTAAGTTCTTTATATTTTTCTTGATTTTCAAAGCATCTGTTCCAGTAAATGGTAGTGTCATATACACAATCTTTTTTGGAACATTATCTTTCTCTGGCCGCTTTGTTGATATAATCGTTGATAACTCGAGTTAAAACTTTTATTCGAAGTCATTCAAACCTAGGTAATTTTTTATGTTTTCCACTTTGTTTTTAAACAGTTCAACATTACTACATAATTTATGAGCTCAATATACGATTCGATTCTCTTCAAAGTTATTAGGTATAAAACCATTACTAGTTAAAGTACAACCCAGAAAATGTAGGTTTATTCTGATTTCAAATTTATCATCTTTTTTCTTAACTAGAGTGTCTAAAAATGGTAACATGCAATCTCTATCTTTTTCTACCGTGAATTTAATATCATTATGCTGTTTATTCAGATAATTAAAAAAAAATATCTACTTGTTCTTGACTTGATGAAATTCAGTAAATATATTAGTTTGTAGAATGTATTTGTTTTTGTCTTTCATGATATTACCTCTTCCATACGTGGATTCCAGCCTCCATGCCCTTCTTGTACTAATTTCAGGTTCTCCACATCTAATAAAACCTTGACTTTATCACCAACATTGAATTGAGGCCGATGACATGCAGGAGATATGCTAGCCACTGCCTCAACAACTTGACCTAAAATTCAGTGTTATTTACTTTACTAAAATGCTCAAGTCACACAAACAAAAAAACAAAGTTTATATTATGTGAATAACGTATTACTTTAAAAGTGTATTAATATGTATTATCTATAGAAACTATATCTCTATTTCATACATCAAATAAACCACCATTAATGCTTTTAGGTATTTTAGCTAAATAATAAATTAATAAACTTTAACTGTAAAAATTACCTTATCAATTTAAAAACTAGTAGAGAAATGTAGAGATAATATGCATTTCATTCCTCTGTTACCTGTAATTCTTACAATTCTGCATTCCTGCCATTGAGCTGTAAGATTTAGTGTTCTGAACAGTAACAGATTTTCTAACCTACTTAGAAATCCACATAAATTATAGTATTTTTGGATCATTATACTCAAATGTTTCATATATATTTTTTGTATTCTAAATTACATAATTGAAAGCTACATCACTTTTTTTGATCCTCCCAAATAACTGAGACTCAAAGCTCAGGAAGAGCAAAAATATTTATATTTGAGTGTATACAGCTTAATTACACAGCAAGTATTATAAATCCTTTATTATTTATTTTATATATTAAAAAAAGTTACTAAAATATCTAAAAATTATACTAGCTTGAGCTTTGGCACAACAAATAATAATAATAGATCACATTCTGTCTTATGTTTACACTATGATAAGAGCTAATGGATTCCTGCCGCAGTGTTACAAATTACAGCAATAAAACCACATATATATATTTTTTAACTTTTTATTTCACCGTATATTGATGATTTCTCTAAAGTTAGTGGTAGAAAAATATGAGATAGAATATAAAATTTTACTAAAAACTTGATATTCATTTAGGAGGTTCTAAAGGTTATAGACATAGATACAAATCGTTAATAAAAATTAAATAATCTGGATTTTTGTGTACAACATACTTGTAATGTTTACTAAAAGCTTCACTAAATTTTATAAAGAAAAAATATACATTTATAATAAATTCAAAGCTATAGTATGTATAGTTTCACAGTTCCAAGGGTGGTCAAATCAACCAACTTTATTGTAAATTTTGTTTATCCATTCATTCTTTTATAGAAATATCCTTTCTTTGATTACTAGTGGAATGAAAAATTTTAGAATATACAGTTTCTCTGTTTTTTAAAATTAATATTATAATAATTACTGTTATTTAAACCTTCTTGGCAAATACCCACTTCATCAGTGGTTTTCAATCACATTTGTTTGCCTGTAGTCAGCCCACGGTTAAAATTCTAATGGTCCAGGAAAATAAGAAATATACATTTTTTCGAAAAATTGCAAAATTAACTTGTAACAGGATTGCTACATCGTGTCATGCAATCTTTGACTCGAGGTGTGCTGGCTGTCTCGTTTCTCTATACAGTGCCGAGTGTTCTGATTTATACGCGCTATCTGATCACCAGCTCATGTGACGAATCAGGCTTAAGTTGTTCTTGTATGTGAATGATTTAGTTTCAACTCTATATTAACTTGAATAATGTGATTACTATTTTCTCTTTAGACTGTTAGTTGTTTTTGTCATTCTAAAGTGTGTTAAATACAATTTAATTAAACTTTCTGCTAGCGTACACTTGTATATAAGAGCTGTTATAGAGGTCAAAAGTGTGATTGTCAGCATCATTACAGGTATTTTGGTATATAACACATGATCAGTCTTAAAACATATTTTCCTTATTATGTTTCATGTATTAGAATTAACCTCCCTCGCTGCTTAGTAAAATATCACAATGACAGAGTGGTTACAAACTGCACTGTGTTGTTGCATAACTAGCAATTTGCACATGGTTGTGCTGAGATCCACTACTAAAATAATGGATGAGAACCACTGCTATACGTGACATCAAAAAACAAATAATTTACTAAAATGTTTTTCAAACAGTTTCTGTAACTGTAGTAACTTCTACATATTTAGCTCTGATCATCAGAGATGTTAAGATACAACAAACACCATTATTATTATTATTATTCCAAATTAAAAATATATAGAAAATAAAATCTCACAATCTGTGGGAATGGATAAATACAAAGATAAATGAACTGCTTTTAAATGGTCATATTTCCTGCACATGCTCAAAATGACAGTAGGTGAGGGTTATGTTTGTTCCTTTCTGTTATTAACTTAATTAATGTTGCAAAACAATGGGAAAAACCAAAGATTTGTTAAGCATCTTTCTCTGTGAATTAGTTTTGAATGAATAAATTAATTCTAATCTCTAGCTCATTAGAAACAATCATTCTCAGGCAAACAACAACAATTATTTGCAGAGAACATCATGTAAAACTTAAAACTGCATGATTTCTGACATTTTGAACAACAATGTTGACTCACAGTAACTTGAGTTTTGAAGCCATAGTTTAATAAAGAATATATGTGTATATATATATATATATATCAATTATGAAAATAAAACTGTAAAAGAAGGATTTACCTAGAATAGGGAGATGGTCCCGATAATAAAAACCCCCAGATGATTCCTGTACGTATTTCAAATCCACCTTTCCTTTGTGTCCTAGTCTATAAACGTTCATAGAACCTGATTTCCAAGTCACGTTAGCTACACTACGTCCTGACTCGCTGTCCCAGCCTCGAATATCAGTAACTTTACCTATTTTACCTTCTCCACCTGCAGATTCACAGAAGTACATACACTGTTAAATTTGTTAAGAATAATGAAAGTTAAAAACAAATCTTTTTATAAAAAGATTTGTTTTTAACTTTCATTATTCTTAACAAATTTAACAGTGTATGTACTTCTGTGCATCTGCAGGTGGAGAAGGTAAAATAGGTAAAGTTACTGATATTCGAGGCTGGGACAGCGAGTCAGGACGTAGTGTAGCTAACGTGACTTGGAAATCAGGTTCTACTGATCAGTAAAATCTATACATCCTTACATAAGATGAACCAAAGGAAAACAGAATTTGCAGTTTCTTCAAAATGAAAAGAACTCATTATAAGATACTTTAAAATTTATATAATTTCCATACATACATAGATAAAGTTGTACAATTCATTTCAGGAACTACATCTGTTTGCTTTTTTCAAACTGATAAAACCGGTCCAAATATCAAAGATGTATAAAAAAAAACAGCCAAACCTCTTGGCATCTCATCTTGTTTGATAATAATTGTTTTTTTAATTTTCTATCTGCTGTCCTAAAGTAGTTTTGAAGGAGATGTACAAAAAAGGGATTTATTTCTCTTAATTTCATTTTTATTCGCTGTTGAAAAACCCATAATTTTATCACACACACACTACACTATTTCTGTCAGAGCATAACACTTTTTTTTATTACTGTGATTACATACCATACGTATTTGTCTCATAAAGTTGCATGTAAGGTGATTAATTCACTATGAAAAATCTTTTAAAAAAAGACCACAATAAATACAAAAAACAAATAATGTGCATCTTTTATGTTTCTTTCACTTATTCTTCTATTAGTATGATTCCTTTTCTTCTTTACATTTAAACATGTCACTGTTTAGGAACATGGCTGGTATAAAAACGTTTGTGAATATGTTTTTAATCAGTTAAAAGTACTAAATATACAAGTTATTCAAGACGTCTGAGTATTTTTCAGTAGAATATCATCACATGCATAATTCTTACTCACAATAATCAGAACACATAAACCTAACAAATAAAAACAACAAGTACCAAATTACAAAGAATGTGAAGGAATCATTTATATCTAATGAACAATTTAATGTAAAAAATTTCAGAAACATTAATGTTGCATAGGCTTGCTGGTTTAAGTTGATTACTGATTAAGACATTTTTCTTAGACAATATATCTAACATTACTCAAAATAAAATAAGGCTTTAATTTGACTGCCCAAATGTACAATATGTTGAATCTACATAACTTTTCTGTCCAACACAGCATACATTTACTTCAGAATGTTTCAAAACTGAAATGATTCCTTAAATTTGATGAAATTCCGTAGACTTTTCTTGGCTTAATTTGATGGTAAACTTCATACATATTTAATTAGTTTCTTCTTCATAGTTAAACTATATCCCATAAAGAAACAAGGTAATTCAACACGTCAATTTTCACTGGCAAACTGCAGGGTTGAATCAATGTTAATAAACAGTTATATTAATGTAACAAACACATTACACTGTTATCTTAAGCCAAATATTCACCAAGTTTAATGGGTTTATTCAATGAGACAAAAGTAAAAAAGGTGATTTGAACATCAAAACTAAATCACTAAATATATTCATGAAGAGTCAAATTTTTAATTTGATCAACACACTCAAAACTCACTTCCAAACAAAATTCATTTACAGGTACAATTTTCAAAAATTTTGCAAAAACCACATTTTCCAATCTGCTTTGTCCACCATGAGGTACTGAACCCTGAATTTAAGCATTTTAAGTCCATAAACTTACCACTGCCTCACCAGAGGATATTTATTAGCTTGAACCAAAATGTGATAAAGAAAGAGACTACACAGAATTTTATAGACACAATAAAAGTAATAGTTACTTAATATACAATACCATTTAAAAGAAATTGAGTGTTTCATTACAAGAACTGCTGAAAATCTATATAAAGACCTATTTGAAAAACGTTTTACAGACTGAGAGAGCCTAACAAAATATATAAGTATGTATAATGTGCATGTGCTATCCATGTCACTATAGGTCATTCTAATCTAAATTACTCTACAGATGTCAAATAACTCACTAATGGAAAAGTTTGCTGACTACCTTTATATAATTGCACCCTAATTTACAGTGATTTTTCCCATGAGAAAATGCATGTGATACCAAAACGGAATAGCCCATAACAATGGGTAGCTAGAATGACAAGATTTTACTGTTAAAACTACACACACAGGTACGTAAAAAAAAAGTGAAACATTCTAGATAGCCTGTTGATATAATACAATTTCTAAAATCATAATATATATCAAAATGAGAACCTATCTATTTAATACAATTTTAAATATCATCTTCCACTAATTTAAAAAATATCTCTGTACTTTTGTATCCCTAGCCACTTTTGGGTCACATTTAACACTTAAAATGCTCTTCACTTTTCAAATCAATGGACCAATTTTAATTTTGATAGACCAAAATCAATTAAACTATCAGTTTTTTTATTTCTAAGGACAGGAAACTATTTCGACAAAATTTCCAGTTATTAAAGCCTTGAAACGGGTTTATCAAAGTTCAAGGGTTTTCAAGATGCATACAATTTTGTTTTTGTTTTTTTATAAGTAAAGCCAAACTGCCATCTGCTGTATCCACCAAGGGGAATTGAAACCCAGATTTTAGCATTATGAGTCTGTAAACTTACCACTGTCCCACATGGAGACAGGGGTATACAAACCCTGTTCTGAAGTAATACACAAGTATATTTCCAATGTTTGCCAACAAAGATATATAATTTTATCCTCTAAATGAATGAGCTGTTTTACAATTAAAAGTAATTAGCACATGCACACTAGTGACTTCAAAATCAGTCAGCTGAAAAATGAGGAATGATGAAAATAAAGGAACAAAAACTTCATTAAATCGGCAAGCCTACGGAACTCTAATGCTTCTTAATCCACAACTTAGTTTTGCATTAAATTCAAAACTGATTAACTGAGAACCAAAAATCAATTTGTGTTTCTGTTCTTGAAAAAGTTTAGCAGGAAGGTTTTAGTAAGAAAAAGTAAATTATTTATCTTAAAAAAGTTTATATCTCAATATCCTCCATGTAAAATATGTTTAATATCTCAATATCCTCCAGGTAAAATATGTTTAATAACCTATTTTACAAACAAAATTTTTAAAGTACCATCTTGATTGCCCCAGTCCCAGTCTGGCCCTCTTGTAACTTTTGCACCAGGAAATATTCCTCGAACTAGAAGTTTTACAGCACCTTGTCGTTTTGACATTTCCTGTCTGGAAAATACAGGATTAATACACAGCCATCTATCAAAACTAATATCAAAAGTTTAGTAACTTAACATACCACTCAAAACAGCATTTTCATATAATTTATTAATTTTGAAGGAACAATGTATTTTTTACATTAAACAAAAATTTGTTCAAGATTTTTTATGTTGTCATACTTTTTATATAAAAAAATTACAAATAATACATATATATATTCAAATTAAAATTTGTTTCAATTAAAAATAAAAAGTTAAAAGTACAAATCACACCAAAACAGGATAACCAAGTAACCACTATTTGCTGAAGTACATAACAAACACTAAAAAAAACATTGTGTAATCTTCTGTTCAAACCAATATCTCAACAGAGTAAATGAAGTAAGTCCACTATATAATGGAAGGTTCAGCAAGATATATTGCAAAATAATTCTAAATTTTAATGAACTGACAGAATTTGTGCAAGACATGATTTGTAATACATATTGAAATAATTGTTATTCTTACAACACAAAGCAGTAGTGTATGAAGGACAGTCACCTTTACTCATCAAGCTGGTTATACTCCCATAATACTTATTTCCAAACTGACCAACTCACTCAAGACGATGTTCTGGACTTAATAGTGTTACTTAGTTGAATCAATAGCTTCAGACTTACTCAGCGCAACTAGCGCAAACCGCTGACTAGTCATTCCCATTCAAACATAATGGAGCTTGTAACCTTGAGACATCACCTGACCTACCATTGGAAGACACTGCTGTTGACCTTCATGCAACATGGTGCAGATTTACAGCCAATCCTTCCATGGGCAAACCAGGTGTGATCTCCAAGGAATGACTGAGAAGAAAGGTAGTTGGAACAAAATCAACGTAATGACTATCTTCACCACTCTGTGTTAAAACAGTACACCTATAACTGAAAATCTTTCAAAATATAAGTAATCAGAAAATTCATGGTATGTTTGCATGTCACAACATGATAACATAAATGATAAATAACCCTCTGAGCTTCTTACAGAATGCTAGGTCTTCTCTAGACTTAAGACCTAAACAGGAATAAGGGTACAATGTCTACTGAATATATTTGTACAACAAATCAAACCAGCCCAGCAAAATGGAATAGCATGAAAAATGCTAAGTTAGTGTTCTTCAAGACTTTTTGTTTTACTCACAGATAGTTTTGTAATATTCAATAAAAACTATAGTAATGGAATGTTGACACTATGATGTTATTACACAAGTATGAGGATTATAAATGTACTAAAAGATATTCACATTCTCACAGCAACCAATTTACGATAACTTTACTAACTCATGTGATCTCTATATGCAATTATTTAAACACAAGCAGATTTCAAGAAACTATCACATATAACAGCAACAAAATTTCTGATCTTACCCAACTGAAGCCGCATTTTCAAACCTCTGGAAAGGATGTGTCAGGTCATGCTTATCTGCCATATAACACTGTGTGCAAAGGTCAAAATCAAAACATCTAGCACATTTCCATCTCATTCCATAAATCCCCTGCAGTTTGCAGACATCACAGATAATGTTGGGATGTTTGACTCCTGATACAATTGATAAACATTTAATACAAAATTATTTACCCTCTTCATATTTCTGATTTAAATATTTATATATGTTCATTCTATATTTGAGTAGTTCACTGTGTTATTAATATTTTGTGTTTGTTACACTGAAACTTTTTTTTGTATATTAGTGACTTTCCCGTTTTTACATCCATCACCATTAAGATAACAAACTTTTAAAATGTTTATTTTGGTATACATTAGACATATATATATATATATATATATAT